CCCACCCGCCCACCTCTCTGTTTTCACTGTCTGTGCTAAGAAATCCAATCCTATCAACATATGGAAATGGAGCTAACCAACCTTAACTGTGTCCTGTATTGACACCATGAGGAAAAACAAAGAATACCCGATAGTATAATTAAAAATCACTTTAATTTAATCTGGCACAGCACATACTAAAAGGTTCAAGTTAAGGTTGTTTCGGTGTTTTAATTATGCATTTCTGTGTTTGGATTTCTCGATTTCCTGGGTTTGTAATGCTTGTTTTTGGTGTAGCTACTTCCACCTTTTCATGTTCTCTGTATGTATAAATATCTTCTGTCTGGGTGTTCCATTCTATGCATCTGATGAAGTGGGCTGTAGCCCACGAAAGCTTATGCTCAAATAAATTTGTTAGTCTCTAAGGTACTGTTCTTTGTGTGGATACAGACTAACACGGCTGCTACTCTGAAACCTGTGATATTCCTTTAATGTGTGTTTTACCCTTAGTTACGGGTACATACTCTCAATCTTAACTGCAATTAAACATAATTTTTATCTGGAAATAGTGTTGTTTTTTTTAAAATTAAAGATGTCATGCCTGAACACTAAATACGAAACTCAAAAACACATGCTACCATGTGATATCTCCAGTGAGTTGAATATCAGCCTTAAACTTGCATTTTTATTTTAACTTCTGTGACCTGATTCACCAGTATGTTCTGATTGTGGTGTTGGTCTGGAGCCTCATAAAGCAGGTAGCACTCATTTAAAATGAGTTTACAGGTGCTTTGCATAACCAGAACAGCACAAAGTAGCAGGAGTGCACTGGTGAATCTGACCTTTAATTTGCAGGTGACTTATTGGTTTAGTTATCTGGAGTTATAGGCTAATTGTTTGGTTTGTATTTTGTCATTTTAATTCTTTACACATATATAGGCAAAACTACAAGGTAAACTTCCAGCATATGAAACTGTCATAGCTGAAAAGGAAGATATTATTCATTTCTTAAAAATGTTGGTTGTGAAACTCTGGAGTCAGACTGGGCAGCAAAGGGGTGTAAAACAGGTGAGAGGGGATTACTGGGGATGTGGGGAAATGGCAGAAAAGAGTTCTCCCATGAAGTTAAAGTGGATAAGCAGGGATATATAGGGAGCAGAGGGATTTAGTGGCATGGTAGTGGGGGGAGGCCAGGGGCTGTGGTGTAGGACAGTTAAGTGTAGTGTTGTGTTTTTGGAAAACCAGGGGTATACACTTGGCAGGAATCTGGATTGGATAGCCTAGGGAATCTTTCTTCATTGACCTCTTCACATCTCTGCTAGTGCACATGGCCATTTTTTCTCCCTTTGGCTCTCTACAGTGCTGTTTTCTGTGGTTGGGGGGACCTGAGGAGCTGCAGGGATTCAGGAGGAGCTAGTTGGAATGTTGGGGGGGAAGAAGGTAGGTGCATGAGCTTGGGGAAAGAAAGGTTGTGTGCGGGGGTGGGAACCATGTTAAGAAGACCAGTGCTATGAAAAAGGGAGGGCCTGCGATGGGGTGGTGGATGGAGACCAGTCTCGGAGTGTTTCTGTACTTTCAGGACTCCCCTGTGCTCCTACTTCAGCTGTCGTGGCAGTGCTACCATAGTGCATGGTGGAGCTAAAACAGCAGTGCCACAGAGGAGCATTTCAAGCATTGATGCCTACTAGCATAGGGCCATTGAACTATAAAGAGCAATGGCATTTGGAGACAAGCAAACCACTGAGAACTCTTGCTATGACTCTCCTCTTCCCTAAGAGGAAGTTGTCTGATATCATGGTTTCCACAGCTAACAGTGACCTGAGCTCTTGACCACTGTTTTTGAGCAACAGTCCACAGTCATAATCCTAGATCCTACAACTCCAACCATGCAGGTGGACCTTTAACCCCCATTGTATGAGGGGGCCACGTCGAGGGAGAACACAGTATTCCACAAGCCAAACGTTTCATGGACCAAGTATATAAATATCCCTGCTGGAGCAGTCACACAACCAAGAAAGGGGGGAAAAAAGTTTGTTTTGTTAGCAGAACTATTTGCAAATAGCGGTTAAATAGCATGGTAGTTACAACATTTTGTTTATATTTGTAATTCTTAGTTGGATGTGCAGTTTTCTATGCTGTTTATCAGTTTTAATATTTTTGTATCAAGGGGGTTTTGAAACTGACTCAGGATTTAGAGTACCTCATCTACATTATGGCCCCAACTGGTTTTAAAATATGTTTAGTTGAGCTGGTTTAAAAAACAGAATTTTGTATAAGGGTTTTCAAAACAGACCATTGTTGATCCCCTGGTGAAACAATGTTTTAGAAGTCTTTGAGTCAGTTGCTGTCACTGCCTGACTTTTTTCCAAAGCCCCATAGCTATTCTTGGGAGGTGAAGTTGCTCATCCTCTTTGTCAAAAGAGCTATTAGCTACTTCTTA